TTTTATAAACTTTGTGACTATATTCCAAGAATCCAGATCCATAGTCTAGGTAAAAGTATTTTCCCATTAGTTTGAAGTCCTGAACAAAATCATAATCCAAGAAAATCATGAATAAACTATCACACTGCTTCTTTAAACTTAAAAACCTGTTGACCCTTTGGCTTAGAATTATCTTTCCATGGCAGTTCATTCTATAATTGTTTCAATTCTTCCAAAAATAATGACCAATAAATACTAGGTACTAGGAAGTTTTGGGCCTATAAAAATTATAAATATAAATATTTCATTCTATTTTTTAAACTGATACCTGGTATAATCATAATAAGAAATATAAATGAAGGCTTAATTGCTAGAGTTGGTGGTATATTATTATTAATTGCAACAATTGCCTATCATGAATATATTTATGCCATTAATTTTATTGGAGAAAGATCATCTGTAGCCATAGTAAGATGTATATCTCTTGGATCTACTGCAAAATTTGGGTAATCATCTTCAAATTTTTTTTAAGTTGAACCATCTGCAAACATTCTCATTATTCCATTAATGGATCAATGATAAAATGATAAGCTATATATTTTTTTATTTCTCTACATTGAAATTATTATTGAAGTCAAGGTATAATAGAGATAAAATAAAAATTAATAATAAATTTAAATAATAAATTAATAAATATTAATTACCTTACAAAATGATCTGTTTCTTTTCTTAATATTTCAGTAATAACTTGCACCTTAAACACGCCAACAAAATAGAAGCACTTCCCCCTTTATAAATAGGTAATAAATTGTCTTCATTTCCATGTAAACAATCTTAAAAATAATTAAATACATTATCATCCTCAATATCATCATTGCCACTACCATTACCATCACTCAAATTAATATAACAATCATATGGAATTATAGAGCTTTTATCAATTTAAAACAATTGCTGTACTAAAGTAGTAAATCTGCATAATCTAATCCTTTGAATACCATGTATCATGTGGTGCTAAAGAATGTTTACCATAAAGACAAATATGATTTATGATAATTTGTATAAGGCAAATGCTTTAAAGAATATGTTACTACAAATTATTTTAGTTGTAAAGGACAACTATAATTTCCAACTTAAATTTGAGTAACTATAAAGCTATCACAAATTACAACTGAAAATTTGTAACTAAAGCCAATTTGCTACTAACATTTAAGTTGAGTTGATTACAACTTAAATTTCCAACAAACACAAGAATTTTGTTGGAAAAACATATCATTATAATGCTTTTACGGACTGGCAGAAGTCAAGTCTAAGTCTTGTGTCGAAATCCACATTCTATCCACTGTGGCCAAAAAATCACCACAAAAAAAAATTGTGCAAAAATCTATGTTATGTAATATAGTTGATAGCCCAGTATACCAATGGCAAATCCCAAGTCCCCCACTTTATTGACTAGCAAGGCTTTTATCAAGACCCTTTGCTAGTCAATAAAGTCAATAAAGTATTTTTACAATGGTAAATCCCAAGTCCCCCACTTTATTGACTACCTCAATTGACTCGAAGTCAAGTGTGCCAAGAATTGATTAGCAAATGTGCGTGTAAACTCTTACAAAAAAAAAGAAGAACCTCAGCTTTCATGATAGCGTTCACTCTTTGATGTTCTGATCCATGGCCATGTCTCTCGCGGATTTGCTGCTGCCTTTGTTTCTAATCGTCTTTCTCACAAGATCCCGGTCACAGTGCCCCACAAATCCATCCGCAATCGTGAACGACACACAGGTTCTTCTCTCTCTCCGTGACAGGCTTGGCATCAAAGTGTGGAACGAGACTGCCAATCCAAGAGCATGGCGGGGAGTGGAGTGGAGCTCGGACAACCAAGTGGAGGGCCTCGCTCTGTCCAGGTATAATCTCTCGGGAGTTTTTCCTGCCACCTGGGCCGAGCTTCCATCGCTGGCTCGCCTGGACCTCTCGCAAAACGGCCTCTCCTCGCTGGAAGTCCCTTGCAAAAATACGCAGCTCAACCTCCTCAACTTGAGCTCCAATTCCCTGCAAGAGTTCCCCGGAAATCTCTCCAGCCTCGAGAGTTTGGAAAGCCTGGACCTCAGTGGGAACTTCTTAACAGTGGCCAGACTCCCAAAGTTTAGCTTGACGCTGCGATCGCTCAACCTGTCCATCAACAACTTAACTGGGAGCTTTTCCATTGGTGGTAACCTGGGACTGGAGGCACTGGAACTCTCGCACAACGGCCTCAGCGGCTCCATTCCAGAAACTTTCGGGGAGATGACGAACTTGACGCGCCTGGACATATCGTATAACAGGTTTAGAGGAGATCTACCCGATATTTGGAGCAAGAACTTGGAGCTCAGGTACATGCGTATCTCCGAAAATTCGCTCCAGGGTGGTTTGCCACCGAGCTTGAGAAGGCTACGCAAGCTCTCGGAATTACACGCTGCATACAACTCTCTCTCCGGGCCACTGGAGCTGGAAGATGGCGACTTTGCAAGCATCGAGGTTTTGAACCTCGGGGTAAACTGGTTTAGCAGAACGATCCCGGCTACGCTGGGAGGCTTGAGGAACATCAGAGAGATATGGCTCTACAGCAATAACTTGACTGGAACAATCCCAGGCGAGCTCTCGAAGCTCTCGCATCTCCAGAAGCTGGTTCTCATGGGGAATCGTTTTAGTGGCGCCATTCCAGGCGAGCTCTCGAAGCTCTCGCATCTCCAGCTGCTGGTTCTCACGGGGAATCGTTTTAGTGGCGCCATACCTCCAGAGCTTGGAAACTGGTCGAACATCAGAGAGATATGGCTCGACAGCAATAACTTGACTGGAACAATCCCAGGCGAGCTCTCGAAGCTCTCGCATCTCCAGAAGCTGGTTCTCAGGGGGAATCGTTTTAGTGGCGCCATTCCAGGCGAGCTCTCGAAGCTCTCGCATCTCCAGCTGCTGGTTCTCACGGGGAATCGTTTTAGTGGCGCCATACCTCCGGAGCTTGGAAACTGGTCGAACATCAGAGAGATATGGCTCGGCAGCAATAACTTGACTGGAACAATCCCAGGCGAGCTCTCGAAGCTCTCGCATCTCCAGCTGCTGGTTCTCACGGGGAATCGTTTTAGTGGCGCCATACCTCCAGAGCTTGGAAACTGGTCGAACATCAGAGAGATATGGCTCGACAGCAATAACTTGACTGGAACAATCCCAGGCGAGCTCTCGAAGCTCTCGCATCTCCAGCTGCTGGTTCTCACGGGGAATCGTTTTAGTGGCGCCATACCTCCAGAGCTTGGAAACTGGTCGAACATCAGAGAGATATGGCTCGACAGCAATAACTTGACTGGAACAATCCCAGGCGAGCTCTCGAAGCTCTCGCATCTCCAGAAGCTGGTTCTCAGGGGGAATCGTTTTAGTGGCGCCATTCCAGGCGAGCTCTCGAAGCTCTCGCATCTCCAGCTGCTGGTTCTCACGGGGAATCGTTTTAGTGGCGCCATACCTCCGGAGCTTGGAAACTGGTCGAACATCAGAGAGATATGGCTCGGCAGCAATAACTTGACTGGAACAATCCCAGGCGAGCTCTCGAAGCTCTCGCATCTCCAGCTGCTGGTTCTCACGGGGAATCGTTTTAGTGGCGCCATACCTCCAGAGCTTGGAAACTGGTCGAACATCAGAGAGATATGGCTCGACAGCAATTACTTGACTGGAACAATCCCAGGCGAGCTCTCGAAGCTCTCGCATCTCCAGATGCTGGTTCTCAACAGGAACGACATGGGCGGGGAGCTCCCTTCCGGACTCTCCAACTGCACCGAGCTCGTTAGTCTCTGGCTGGACCAGAACAAGTTCTCTGGAAATCTCCCTGACAGCTTCGGGAATTTGAGCCGCCTGTTCCTTCTGTCGCTTTACAGCAACGATCTTGTCGGTTCAATCCCGGCCATGTTGCAAAACATGTCGGCTCTGCAGTTCCTCTTCCTCTCAAACAACAGCTTCAGCGGCTCCATACCGGACTGGCTTCCCAGGCTCACGAACTTACGAGCCATGGACTTCTCGGTTAACAGGTTCTCTGGGGAGATGCCGGAAAGCATTGGCCGACTGTTTGCCAACGTCCAGCTTTACAACAAGAACAAACGGTCTGTGATGATTCAAACCGGGCAAGGACTCGTCTACAACAGCTTCGCCTTCCCGACCTACATAAACTTCTCCTTCAACCAGCTGACTGGAAGCATTCCAGCTGCCATTGGCGACCTCTACAAGCTCCAGGTGCTGGACCTGAGCCACAACCAGCTAACAGGTCCCATTCCCGAGTCCCTGGGGAAGGCAAGGAATCTCTCCGACGTGGCGCTTGCGAGCAATCGTCTCAATGGCTCCATACCATCGTCCGTGGCGGACCTCTCGTTTCTCACCTTCTTTGACGTCTCCAACAACAGCCTGGTGGGACGGATACCTGACAGCCCGCAACTCTCGTCCATGGACGCGGCTCTCTTCGCTGGGAATCAGCTCTGTGGCTTGCCACTGACCAACACCTGTTCGAGCACTGCTATGCTGCCACATAAGCTTAGAACAGAGGGACAAGGTGGTAGCGAACAGGACCAAACAGAGGTGATAACACTTGTCAGTGTTGCGATCTTCGTGGCAGCCTTCTTCAACGCGTTCTTCTGGACCTACTTTGCGGCAAACCACAGAGCTCATTCCCAGCTCTGTGGATGCTGGCAATCAAATCTCTAGCTCGTCCACCATGTTGCTGCCGTCCTTTCTACCTTCCAGTTTGTAATCCATCACGACCGCTTGATGAAGTGAACTCTTCTTATCCGCTTTCAAGGCCGCCTCCTGTATAGTCTTGAGCTTATCATGATCCTCCCACAGCCCCACCCTCCGGTAGATGCTCGCCATCAGAACGTACGCAGCCGAGTCATTCTCGTCGATTCTTCGTCAGTGCCTCGAACGCAATCCTCCCCACTTCCACTTACGGCAGGCCCCGAGGACGCTCCTCCAAACCCCAGCATCCGCTCTCAAAGGCATGCTCTCGAGGACTTTCACGGCCTCTTCCAGTCGGTTAAGAGATCCACCAAGCTGCTGTAGTGATGAATCCCGCAAACAATGCCAGAGTCCGGGTCCATTGCCTGGAAAAACTCCCTGCCTCGTTCAACTAGGCCGCCGTGGCTGCAAGCAGTGATGACCGAGACAAATGTGATTGCGTTTGCTCGCACGCCATCTTCTCGCATCTCGCGAAAGGCTTCGAACACGCGCGACATGTCACCCTGTTGGCCGAATCCCGTGATCAGTGCATTCCAGGCGACGATATCTCGGACTGCCAGAGATCCAAACAAGTGCTCGGCCGCACTCATAACTCCGCACTTCCTGTAGAAGTTTACTCCCCACAACTTGATCGTCTTCCAGCCCACGCCTGTAAAGATCAGCCTAGGCCGTAAGTCCCGCTACAAGAGTCCGAGAGTTTGGAGCACAGTCCACTGCAAGAGTTCCAGCCGGAGCTCACTCTCACCGTTGTCTATATATCCCTGTATCAAGCTCGTCCAAACGACAACGTCCCGGCTAGGCATGCGTTTGAAAACTGCTCGAGCTTTCACCATATCTCCACACTTGGCATACATGTCCACCAAGCTGCTCCCGACAAATCTGTGCTCGCAGCGTCCAAACTTCGCGGCGAGAGAATGAATCTCCATCCCCTTTTCTAGGCTCTGGATTCGCACTAGCTTTCCATCTTCTCACGGAACAGGTGGCTCGGACGCTGAAAGCGCAGCAACAAACGTTCTCTCGTCCGGATCGTCCTCCCGAGCCATGCCGAAGAACAGCTCCAAGGCCAGCTTGCTGTCTCCACTTACATCGGCCAGCCATGCCATCGAAGACCTTGCGAGCTTCCTCTAGTTGTTTGAAGCTTCACCGTGGATAGCCACCCCGGTTTCCAAGCTCTTTCTCTTCACGAGTTGCCGTCGACATCCACCGCTTCTTCTCGCATTGCCGAGCTCGCACAGGCGGCAAGCGCAGCAACACACGTCCGAGAGCTTGGACAGCACCCAGATAGCTTCATATCTTCGAAGAACACGAGAGCCAGCTCGCTTTCCCCGTTGTCCACAAAGCCTTGTATCAAGCTCGTCCAGAGCACGACATCACGACGAGGCATGCTCTCGAAAACCATCCGCGCGTCGACCATGCTCCCACACTTTGAGTACCTGTCACTTGGCTGCTCCCCAGGAAGATATCTCCACAGCAGTGGCTTTTCACAGCTCCATCGTGAACAGCGAGCTCCTTCTCCAGGCTCTTCGTCTTCACCATCTTTTGGTGGCCTCCTCTTTCACTGCTAGATTCGCACAGCCCTTGGCAGCAGCAACGAAAGTCCGAGAGTTTGGCGAGCAGCCCATCTTCCCAAAGAACTCGAGAGCGACCTCGCTTTCTCCATTCTCTACGTAGCCCAGTATCAACGCGTTCCAGGAGACCACGTCTCACTGTGGCATCTCGTCGAAGACCGATCGAGCATCGAGCATGATGCCGCACTTAGCTCGAGAGGAAAACGTCTTCGCTGCAAGACGGTCCCATCTGCTTGGCTTGAGAATGGATGCCTCTGCCGGTCTCGAGACTAGCCTCCTTGACGAGCTTCCCATCGACCAAAACAGCGTCTTCCTTCGCCGCGAGGCTGCTACAAGCCTTTGCCGCGTCCTGGAGTTTGGCTTGCAGCCCGACCGCCTGGCTTGCATCCTCTCGAAGAGATCCAGAGCCACATCGCCCAGACGTAGCCCAGCATCAAGGACATCACGTTTGGGTGAAGAATGCTGTCGAACACACGGCGGGAATCCTCCATGCTGCCGCATTTCGCGTACATGTCCACAAGCGCATTGACAACATGGATCCCCAGCTGCTTGCTCTCCGCCGCCTGGGCGTGGATCGCCCAGGCGCAAATTGCCCTTGCGCAAATCCGTTGTGACCTTCAACGCCGACACCTGCTGATCGGGCGCCCGCGGCGGCGCTGCCGAAGGAGCGAATGCTGGTGCGGCGCATCGAATCGCTGCCGTCGCCAAGACTCATCCATCGCAAGAACCCTAAACATTTGCTAGCAACATGGAAATTCAACCAAGGCCGTCGATTCAAGAATATCTGACGGTTGGAAATGAATCGGGGATGGAAAAACCTTGAGGTACTCAGGAAAAATCGCCCTGTACAACCCAGCGTAGCCTTGGGTGCGAACAATGTGCCTCAGCGCGCTCGCAATCCCAGGCTTGTAAGCCGGTGTCCATCTCCGGTCGCCCTCGAGTTAAGTCGATCGGAAACACCGCTGAAAACAGGAACTATGGCGATCACGCTCTTAAGACTCTTACCTGTTGAGGCAGCGATTCCTGCTACTCCACCGGAGATCAAGCTTGTCACCATCCTACTCGGGCCTGAAAGTAAACATGTAACGCCAGGAAGCCTAAGCTTGTCAAAACGGTGTTTACCAATGCGATGCTGCTCTGTGCTTATAAAGCTTTTCCAAAAATTCCTCACACTCCAAAACTAAAAAAAAATCCAACTTTGAGCGTTCCAGTAGTTGTAGAGAGTGTCATACAAGCAGAAGTTTATCGCAATTGTTGGGCCTAAGTCTGTGGCATTTGGCAGGGAGGAAAACCAATACCAAAAGCATCGGTCAGAGTTCCTTATAAAGGCTAAGAAAGCTCTCCTGTTGATGGATTGTGGAAAGCGTGTGATAGATGCGGACGCACAGCAACATCTACATGCAAGAGCACAAAAGCTGTAAAGGGAACAACTAACAACAAAGATCACAAAGCTCAAGGTGAGGAAATTCAGGAGAAGACTCCAGAACAAGATCCTAAACATGTAACCACCTTGCAGGTTCCAAACTGACAGTTGTCAAACCAGTGTAACGTGAACATGACCCAGCAGGAGCAGTCTCCAGCATCTCCACCGCACACAGCAACACCAACACAACCAGCTCTCAATGCCGACACCGACAACATGCCACATCATTGCAAACACCACAGTTGAGAGCATCCCGAGCAAGAGTGACGCTGCAAGCCTGAGCTTACACTGGATCTTAAGCTTGGCATTTTTCCAGTTTGTGGACAAAATGCAGTGTCTCCAGTCAACACTATAGATGCCAATACCAGCAGATTTTGCAAGGCTTTTCCACGACAAGCAGATGAGCATTTTCATGCGAGACAGAGTCCAATCAACACCTTTGTCTACCAGCCCCTAGATGTGAAGCTCACGAAGATCCAGAACCATATTCTCCAGCTCAAGAGGAGCATTTGAGGTACAACTTTCTAGGAATTTGTATGCACAAAGACTTAGCACATGAATAAGGAACTCCCCAAGGAGAATGCAGAGCTTCTCCCCAAGGAGAATGCAGAGCTTCGCAATGAGATCTGACAGCTCAAGGTGAAGCAGCTGTAGGGATAGGGTGCATTACAACAGAAGAACAAGTTCAAGAATGAGCTCTCTGGAGTCATAGCAGCAATAAAACAGCCCAATGCCATGGAGAAGTGAGAGCTTCAAAATGAAACTCAACTCAGTTGTGGGAGAAAGTGGAGCATTGAAAATCAACTTTATATTTAGAAACATCATCCTAAGTCTTGAAATTTAAATCTTAAGACTCAAGAACAGGAATGAGTGGCAGTTGCCCCATGTAGAACTAATTAAGGAGGTGAGTTAACACTCAAACTTTATCCCTTTTTTTTGTACTCTAGCTTTCCATCATTAATGCATGTCTATTTGCTCAAAATCTAGAGTACTCAAGCGATACCAAGTTTATCTTTGCTTATGACTTCAACAAAAGCCTTCATAGGGATTGAAGGACTCAAGTCATTCCTTTTTTACTTTTTATATGTTTATTTGTGTCTAGCTAAAGCAAAATGCAAAATCAAGTCAAACAAGTGTAGTAGTAAGCATCCACTCTACTCTTACCTTCTTTTCTCTTTCATTCTTATTTTCTTTTCCTCTTTCTTTCTTTTCTAGTACAAGTTTTTAACATATAGACTTTTACCCAAGTTTCTAGGAATGGCTTGTTTTGACATTTAAAAGAATGATTGCAAAACATATGAACTTTCAGCATTTAGATTGGGATGGGTATTTGCTGTTTCTTTGGTATATGTATATCACAGGGTATAAAATTCCATTAGTGCTTCACCTTATAAACTTTTATATGGTCATTATTCGATATTACTAATGGAGTTGAGTTTACCTTCGTGATTGCTATAAGCTGCCAATACTAAGTTTTGGGATTAACAGTTGATGAGCATTTTTCCACTCATTCGAGTGGAGTTTATTAAGCACTTAGGCTGTGTATAAGTGGGATAATACCAGCACAACAACTTCCATCATCGTTCACCAATGGAGTATAAAGTGGATGATTTGGTGTTAATCCATTTTCCTAATGTTACAATATATGGTTTGTCTAAGAGGCTCCTTATTCAGTAAGTTAAACTACACGTTTATAAAGTTTGGCAAAACATTTAACAAACTAATCCTATATATATGCAATAACTTAAATCTTTTGTATAAAGGGATCAGACACCATCTACAAATCTACCAGTGTCTCCTCCTGATGTTCCTCTAGATCCTAGCCTGTCAACTTGAAAACTTTAACTACCTTTCATCCTTCTAAAAGAATAAGATAATATGAGGTCTAAGTGTATAGCTATGATATTGTATATAAATAGTAGTATAATTTTCAAACCACTCACTTTTGTATATAAACTATGGTTTTTTGGTTAATTAAGATGCATATTTCTATATGCACTAAGAGTGCTACTTAAACTATAAATGAGGCTAGAAAATAAACCCTTTTTATGGCATCTTTCTCAATATTAGATCAAGAGAGTAATAAATAACTCACTGAAGTTATCAGTCTTTATACTTTTTCTTAGTGAAAATCTTATAACTTAATATACATATCTAATCAATATAATTCATTGGGAGTAGGTAAAAATACCATAATATAACTAGTAAATTTTAGAAATATATTAAATTTACTTTTAAATAGGACAGAAAAAAAAGTTAAATAGAGAATGGATAAAAGTGAAAATACAAGTGATAGAGAAGAAACCATTGATATTTTATCCACTTGAAAAGTTTTTCACCACTTAAGAAATAATAAGCTTAAATAGAATATTTTAATTCCTTTTGAAAAATTAAATATCCTTAATTTTTTTAAGGGGAAAAATTAAGAAGCTGTAAGCTCCTGAATTTAGACTTCTTAGGAAGTCACCCAACCCAGTACTATTCAAACCTAAGGACATTTATCCCAAAACTCTTAATCGATTGGAAAAAAGGGTACACTTTTATTTATAGGCCTTTTCTTTTTATATTTGAACCTTATGAACTGTCTCTCAAATTATTTTCTTTGGTTGTTAAGAATCCATTACACTTTCTTGCAAATTCACGCCCTCATGAACGGAAGTTGGGAGCCACAGCTCTCCAAAGAACCCTACTTTTTTGACACCCTACCCCTTGGGTTGAGCATAGCCAAAGCAAACTGAACTTGCCAAATATCAATCAACATGTAATGCAATTCCTTTAACCAACTAACAATATGGACTGTTTCTTGAGTTGTTCTTTTTTGTTGCATTTGAGGTTACCAAATGGTATTACTTAAAAAACAAGCAATTGTAGTGCATATAGTTTTTACCTTTTATAAAAATGAAGTGGAACCTAAACCCTCTATATGCCATGTGTCATCCAAAGGACAGTGGTGTGGAACTCGAGTTTCAAAGCCTTGGGCCATTGAACAAAAGAATGGTGCCAAACTTTTAAGTATGAACCCAAGGAGCCAACGTATTATAGTGACTTGGAACAATCCTAGAGCATTTAATATCCCAATGCTAGGACTAACATATAGTGTTATTTCAACATA